TTTTGTGCAAGCAAGGCAATATGAAATTGAATGTAAACGTCAGCTCAACTCATATCATTGTGGGAAAATTTTACTACCAGTCCTTCATCACCTTAAACCAAAATAGGGTGAATACGTCTCATATTACTAATTTACTGGTAATCTCGAAACTCTACTCAAAGACCAAAAATATTTTTATTTAGTCTTCCTATCCGCCACTTAAGGTTGATTGGATATTAACAGAATAAAGCAGGTATTACTAAACTTGGCCCAGTACCAAGCAAATCTGTCCTGATTGAATTTTCTACACTTATTTATGGTATTCATAGCATATTTGCAATCATTTTCGTATTAGAGTAGAGTTTTGAGACTACCAGTAAATCTGTAATATGAGATGTCTAAGGTGATGAAGGACTGGAAAATTCTACTACCAGTTCTTCATCACCTTAGACGAAATAGGGTGAATACATATCATAATATTTACAATCACACCTGCAGAGCTTGTGTATGGCACACCTGATAAACAAGTGGGAGTAGATTATTCGATGTTGAACAAAGAAACGATCAGTTCGTGAGTAGTTGTGAGGCTAGAAATAGCTCTAAACAATTGGTCAATAATTTGCTTATCTTGTGTTAGCTGTATTAACCACAAAACTTTACCTTTCTTCTTTAATCTCCATCTATGCTTCCGACCAATCGTACGCATTAGATCCTTCCGGAGCACTCATTTCGATGGTTTGCTGTGCTAAATGCACGCAAATCGAACTTGCGCAATGTACATGTCATGGAGAAGCTACGATTAATTTCGTTCTGAACAAAGACTAATCTTCTCCTTGCCTGTTTTCCTTCTTACTCCTTCTTTTCGTTGATACAGTTGACCAGAAAGTGGCGCCGTGAAGCGCACTGGTTGGCCAGGCAACTGATGCGCCAGACGGCCTGTCTCAGTCGGCTTCCGTCATCCACTTTCACCTCTGCTCGTGCTCCAGCTGTCATCGCGACAAGGCGTGTTGCAGTTCGGCCTCAACATGTACGTCAGTCTGCCTGGCGAGGGCGTAGGCCGAAGGCGCGCTGTGTGCTCGAGGCCGACGACGTGGAGACCGACTCTGATTCAGATGACTTTGACTCGGAAGTCGAGCAGGACCACGAAAAGGAGAAGGCTGTCGGTGAATCTGAAAGTCGAGAAGATGATGTGTCTGATAAAAAAGCAACTTAAATTGAGGATGTGGATACTAGTCAATGAACGAAGCTGAAAGAGCTGAGGCCAGGTAACAGGACAACTTCAACCGATTAGTTGTGAGAATGGAGCCTGGATGACGCTCTCTCTGAAGGAGTTTCGTTTCTAATTCACTTTCAACGATAAGGTTAAAGCAAGTAGAATAGACAATGAAATAT